GACGAGAAACATGGCAGCAAAGACGGAGAGGATTATAAGCCAGAACTTGAGTGTCTTTGGTTTGTAGTTCTCCTGAGCTTCTTTGTCGAAAGCTGGACCCTGGGAACTCGACTCATCTTCCTTCGTGTCATTTGCTGACTCTCGCTGGTCGCCTTGAGGTGATTGAGGTTTCTCATCCTGTGGTGATATTTTGTTGTTAGGCTCGAAAGGCGATTGCGGTTCGGTTGATGAGAGCGAGTTGAAAGATTTACGATCCGGAGCATGAGACTCGGTCTTGTCAGGGGGAGGCATGGTTGAAGCTGAAGCTGTTCAGCTAGAGGTGCAGAGGCTTATAAGATGTGATGCTATATAGCTTATTAGTGTTAGTATATCTGTAGACGTTGGAAAACACTGGGATCTGGTGCTGCTGAGCAAGATGAGGCTTGTTGAACAGGACATTTTGCTAGATATATATCTACACTACAAGTAATCATCGGACGGACTGAGAACCGAGCCATGCAATAAGTTGAAACTAGCGGCAGGGCCTAGAAGAGACTTGCACACAGAAAATGCGCGTGCTCGGTCAATACTCATCCTAATAGAGACAATTACGAAAATTGACCCGAGAGAAGTGGTTTGACGTAGAATAAGGGTCCCGAAGGTGAAGGGATTCAGTTATAGGTCGGATCCGGAGACCACAAAGCTATACTCGATTGGGAAATCAAAGTCGCGAAGGTGCCAAGAGTGTCCCCTCCCTCGGGACCGACGGACATAAACTCATCATGAGCAACACTCAAACTTGACAACTCTCGGCCATTCTCTTGTCCACTACTACCCGAGGAGAGTCTCCCTATGGTACCTCGTCTCTTGTTCATTTCGCCCTTGGACTACACGTCTTGACCCGCCCCTGATTGTACTTGTATCTGATCCGCTCAACCTCAGCTTCAACACCCAGACATCGAGGGGACCAATCAGTTCAATCCTACTTACGATATCAAACCAGTCTGTCATAAAAGAGCACGGCCGCCAAGCAAAATTCAAGCTCCCGCTCCCGTAGTCTCGGGCCCGAAGATCGCAAACACGCCATAATTATCCATCCAACACATCGCAACGTCAGTTTCCTCTTCTGCAGATCTGTCCTGTCACTGGTCACAAGCAGATGGATGGATGCCTTCGCAGGTCCCTGACTCTGATCCCTACTTATCCACAAGCTACTTTACTGTACAGTAGATAGGCAAGTATCTTACTGTAGGGCTGAGAATTCCGACAGTCCAGTCAGTCAGTGCCTACAGCTGAAAGAGACTTGCAGCTCTGGGAACCCATGAGAGCCTCTCAAATTTGAACAAAAACGCCTCTTTCTGGGGCCTGCCCCCCGGTCTTCATTCGCCGCCACGTCAACACCCAATAACGCGTAGCTGTTGCTGCGTCTTATTCTCTCAGCACACACTCGCCCGGGCCCGAAACACTCCTTTGCAGTCGCCTGTACCCCTTGCCCGGTCCCGTGCAGGTCCGGGATAGGATACCCACTCCGTCGGAGTGAGATCATCCGGCGATTCGGTCCTCTGACACGGCTACTGACTGGCCATGCCCTACCCCAATGGCATTCCCGGTGTCCCCGGATCGGCCCCGCAGCAGCAACAGCAGTCTCAGGCACAGCAACCTCAGGATCCTTCCGCCATCAAATTAACTCGAGGGACCAGCTGTGTGCTTTGTCAACAGCGCAAGGTCCGCTGTGACAAGAACAAGCCATGTGCCAACTGTGTAAAGGCCAAGGTTGAATGTCGTGTTATTCCACCCCAACCTCCTCGACGCCGGAAGAAGCGTCTCCAGGAGAAGGACCTGATAGATCGGCTAAAAAAGTACGAAACCCTTCTAGCGGAGCACGGTGTCAAAGTTGAGGCCATCGGGCATGAATTAAGACCAGATGGCCCCCCCGGTGAAGATGTCGAAGAACTCGAGAACGATTTTGAAGGCCTGAAGACAACCCCTGAAGCTAGTTCATCCCCTGCACCATCTAATTCAGAACAACGGTACGCATCCTACAGACAAAGCATGTCAACGCCCCTCGAAGTACTTGTGCTCACATGATTATAGGACTGGCGGCGGCGCCTGGTTTTCTTATCATAAGGAGGTAGGTTGAGTTCTCCTCTCGCTAAATGCAACAGTGCAATCGTCTAACATTCAACTTAGTTTCGAGCCAGTGAACACATGCTGCAAGATTCCTCTGATGATGAACCTGAAGTAGGCTCAAGTATCCATCGTGCCTTTGATCGAATGTTTGACACTGATGGGTTTCCTTTCATCATTGGAGCTGCCCCAGTCCCTATTGCGAATCTTCATCCTTCCACAATACACATCTTTCAGCTCTGGCAAATATATATCGACAACATTAATCCCCTGCTCAAAATAACACATGTTCCTACGGTTCAAGCACAGATCATAGAGGCGAGCTCGGATCTCGAAAATGCGCCAAAGAACATCGAGGCTCTCATGTTCTCCATGTACCTCATGGCGATCACATCGCTTGAGGATGCAGACGTTTACAAACGGTTCAACGAGACCAAAAAGGAGCTCCTAGCAAGATACCATACCGGTACGCAGCATGCGCTGACGAAAGCCGGATTTATGAGAGTCAATGATCCTGTTCTCTTGCAGGCGTATATTCTTTACCTCGTAAGTTTGGCCTGGGAATTCTTCTGCGAATGCTGTCGCTTAACTTTTACTTAGTTTGCTGTTCGATGGTTCGTTGACCCTCGCCAAGTATTCTGCCTCATTGGTCTAGCCGTCCGCATTGCCCAGCGGATGGGACTTCACCGAGATCCAGCACAGTTTGGGCTGCCGCCATTTGAGGTTGAGCAGCGTCGCCGACTGTGGTGGACCCTTGTGGGATATGATCGACGGCTTGGAGAGATGGCAGGATCAACAGTAACTGCTCTCTCGACTGGTGGTGACTGCAAGATCCCCATGAATGTCAACGACTCGGATTTACATGTTGACGGTAAAGAGTTACCCACACCACACTCTGGACCAACCGAGATGCTCTTTTCTCTTACGAGAGTCGAGCTTGCTATGGCGGTTTCAAGCGATAGTAATCGCGACAGCTACAAAATGAACAACACAGACAAGAGTCCTGCTGGGACACCCGCTTCCAAGAACCAAGCTACCATCCGTCTTGCTGGTCAAGACGGCCCTGCCTATACGCTCGATGGCTTCTGTGCACACATAGAAGGCACTTACCTGAGCCAATGCGACCCTAAGATCCCCCTACACTTCTTTACCCTTACCATGACCCGTCAAGCTATGTGCAAGATGCGAATCATTAGCTTCCTTGTTCGGATGCATAGCAATGACGACAATCTACCCCTTAAAGACGTTGAACGCGACAGCCTCTTCTTGCAAGCCACGCAAATGATCGAATACGACAACGTTGTCCAGTCATCTGAGTCCCTCCGGCCCTTCAAATGGTACTCTATGCACCACTTCCCCTTTCCCGCTTACATGTTTCTTGTCCAGGAATTACGCCACCGCGTCTCTGGCCCAATGGTAGAGCGAGCATGGGATGCCATCGAAAAGAATCACGACCTCCGTGGACTTCTCAATAACTACCACAATCCTATGCATATGGCTTTTGGTGGCCATTTTATCAAAGCCTGGGATGCACATGAAGCTGCCTTGGTAGCTGCTGGTAGACAAGTCCACAGACCAGCTTTCTTAGGACCTTTGCGTGAGCGTGTAGCAGCTCGCCGGCGAGCAAAACAGGCCAATCGACCTTTTCCAATTCCTCCCCAGCCTCCAGCCGGCGTCCCGCATTCTCAGGTCACGACGCCCTCTTCCAGTGGGTTTGCCCCATCTGTTGGCCACATGACGCCTGGAACTGTACACCACGGCCAACGTGCGAACTCGGGCTCCGTTGCCTCCAGCGACGAGCCTGGTGAGATGGACTGGACTTATATGATGTCTGGTTACAACGACACTTCAAGTTTTACCCCCATGGGCGGATTTGGCAGCTTCAGCGGTGGCTTTGGCGGGGGTATGCCTGGTATGCCACCCGGGATGGGAGGTATGGGGCGCCCTCCGACTGGTAATCCTCCAGGTGGCCGTATGTATGGTGGGAATTAAGGCACCATGAGCAGTGATGTGATATGATATACGAGCGCCATCGTTCTTCTGTTTATTTGCTTTGCCCCTTCCAATTGGAGTGCTTTATCTTGGACGTTGTTTACATGATAGTATTTAACATGATACAGTATACCGTTATCTAACATTCTATTCTCCCTATGTTTCTTTTCCTTGGCAACTGCGTCACATGCAGCTCACAATCCTAGCTCGAACTAGAGTACACGAATGGCCACAGAGGCACTATAATCACAAGAACAGTTTGGCCATGCTGGCATTTGTATCAGACTCAAGACGCTCTCACATCCACTTATCCCCGACCCTGTGTTCTTTTCATGATCTCTACTGGGCACGGCTAAGGACCACAGATCGGAAGCACACCCGACCTATTCAAAAGGTGGCTTTTACTCATAGAAGCCCGCCAATGTTTTGCTTACTAGTATAGATAATATGCCAAGTTCAGCCTCAAACAACACCGCAGAACAGTGGAGGCGTTGCTTGTCCCATCTTCACCTCAAAGTCAAGCCGATAGCTGCGCTAGACTGTGTATGGAGCAGAGCTGAGAATGGTGTAGCGTTTCAATTCGCCATGCAGGCGTTTCCCAATTAGACAACCAGCATAAGCCAAGGTAGAACAGTTAGCTTATATGGCGGGGCATTGCTTGCTTTGTGTTGCATTTCTACAACTCTCGAGCAGCATGCGAGGTGACCCTACATCCATACCATCCCAGTCACCAAGGCCAGATAGGTAGGTTAGCAGCCAGAGTACTGAGGTGTCACACGTTCCAAGTGGGGATAAAAGCAGTATGCAAGCTGGCAGGTTTGAGTCAGTCTCGGTCGGATGTCCTTTCGCATGAGAGAAATTTTGCAGGATGGCCATTTTGCTAAAGATTCTTCAGTGCCCTATTAAAGTGGCTTCTGCGCCCAGCAATCAATCCAGTCGAGTTGTGCGTGAATGCGAGTGTTGTTGAAGGTTTCGAATACGCTGTGCCCAAGCTCATATGCCTCTTCTTCTGTGACTCCCATTATGTCCGGACGGCCAAGCATTGCCGTGACCCATTCCTCGAGGATGTTTTGGGTGAAAATTCCCATTTCTCTCATTTTTGCTTCCTGGTGCCACCGGCCAACAGGTGTGTAAGAATGGCGTTCATTGACATTGATGAATCCAACGTCACGCAGCGCTTCAACGATCTGGAATGGAAAGCGTAAATTCCAACCATATATCGTGGTAAAGGGGCCCTCGACAAGGCGGTAGAACTGGTTCATAGGATGATCATCTCCGGCAGTACCGTCAACAGAGAAGACAAAGGGAACAATTTCGTGGATTTCAATCCAAGCACCAGGCTTCAGCTTTCTAGCAGCATTGAATGAGCAGGGAATACAGACAAGTTGATTTTGACACAACTTACTCAAAAGCTCTTTCCAATAGCTGTCTCGGTTTCCGCAGAGTCTGTAACAAGGCCCTGACGTGAATTAAATCTGCATCTTCATATATTCTTGTCCATGGGCGATTTTCATCCTCGAGATCTTCTACTCGAAACTCAACGTTGGGCGGCGTCCAATGCGGCTGGATGGGTGAAAGATCACATCCTATTACCCGTGCGCTGGGAAAGTTTTCTGCGACTAAAGTAGGCTCATTGTCAGGCTCAGAGTATCGCAACTGAGACGGAAAAACTGACCGTCTTGTGCCCACATGCCAACACCTGTACCAAGATCAACAATCTTTTGCGGGTTGTTCCCGATGGGAGCCAGAAATAGCTTTCCGTCGAGGAGATAATCCAGGTACAGCTTATGCTTCAAGCCCTCACGGACCTGCTCAGCATCGTCGTTTGGTAGGCCATAACGACCACATAGAAATCCTTGATATCGCCTAACAGATTAGCATTTATGGACGGGGTGTAATAAGGATCAGCAACACACCTTCCATGTTCGTACGAGTAAAGTTCCCTGGTATTAACTGAAGTAAATTCGGAGGTTGCTATTGAATCCCCGTAGTCTGACGTTGGGTCCTCTTCCGGGTCTCTGTGGTCCATCGCTATGGAACCTCTGCTTCAAGTCCCCCTTGAAGGATCGTACTCGAGAAGAGAGGGGTTAAGTGGGAAGGAAATAGTATTTGATGTGAATACATGAGCACTTGGCAGAAAAGCAGCAGGTAGGTACTGTAGCAGCAAGCTAAAAGAAGGGCAGACTGGTAGGACAGGCCTTGGTGGGTCAAGCATACATACATATGCCGGTGACAGATACCCAGACCTTGTCCCGATGGTAGGGTACGTATGTCGCAGGGGAAGCCTGTTCAAAGGCAGGGGATGCTAACACTGGAAAATGATATGTGACAGGGACAGTCGAGAGAAGTAAGCACGCCAATACCAGGTATCGACCAAACCAGCCTGTATGATAGGGCCTCGTTGAACGAAAAGTTGCACAGAGAGTGACAAGAGTGACAAGACCCAGCAGCTTGGACTGTGTGGAGGGGACTAACCCAGTGAATGGTCCCAGGTAGCCAATACGATGAGAGAACGGCCAAGGAGGATTTCCAGAAGAACGGAAGGGGGGGTCGGCAGCGCAGGGAGACCCAGAATCCCAGACGACCGGTAAGTTGGTAGCAGACAAGACAGACGGTCGGTGCGGGATAGGCTCCTGGGTTAAGCGGTATGGCCCCGAGCCGTCGGGACAAACCGAAACTCTTTTGAGAAGAGTTCACACTGATCGGCGGCCGTGATGCGGCCCAGTTGTGACGTGGTCGAACGAGCAAGCGGACGACTCCAGTGTACTAACAAGGCAGCTAATAAAGCTGACAACGGATACAAAATGGCAACTGTTCCCGATTGTGATAGAGGAACGCTGACAAGAGACAGTGCTGTGGCTAAGGATAGAGGGTTTCGTGTCAAGGATTTGGAGAATTCAGACAGCGATGATCGCGTCTCGTCTCGTCTCGTCTCGTCCGTCAAATTCAGTTGCGCTATGTTCCAATTTGACGGATATATGAGTTACACCTTGTTGGCTACCTTAGGTAGCTTCAAAGCTGAAGGTTGGGTGGGAATGTCGCCGGTCTAATACAACGATAGATCATGCCACTCTCTCGACCATTCCGTTCCTGGGAGCCATTAATTGACGCAGTTGGAGCGAGAAGCGAGGCACATAAAAGGCGAGACCTTTCCGTCACCGATTCTGGGCGGAGGAGGTGGTGCTATGCTCTCCCAAAGGAGAGGAAGGTAGGTATCGTGCCTACCTAGGTAGGTAGGTAACTACTAAACAGATACCCAAGTTAGGTGCAATCACTGTAATGACATCCTATCCAATCCCACAGTGGGCCAGTCTCCATTTGTCTTCTGCCCACTGTCACTTCGGAGCGGAGGATGTTGGGGTCATCCACTCCTCTCCGTCACGGCAAGGGAATGCTCCGTGAATGCATTGCATGCTTGTGTCGTAATACAAAACTGCCGTACTTGACCAAATCATTCCACTGTTTCTGTTAAGTAACGCGGAAAAGCCATGTCCACTTCCGCCGGAATCATGGTCAAGGATTAGGTGCAAGGCATTAAAATATTTCAGTACAAATGCTGCATGCCTTGTACTGAATAGAGAGCCAAGATATCCGTACTTTCAAAATCTCTGTCGCGATAATAACAATTATGGCGTTGGATGTCCTCACAGGCCAACCTAGGCCCAGAAGGCAGTACGCGAACTGCAAGTCATAGAGCCATGGACGGTTCTGAATTATAAGGTATTATACCTAGTAGGTAGGAAAGAGTTGAGTGCTGTGCTGTACTTTAAGAATGGATGGAACAAGAAAACCCCAGTAGGAGCTTCGGATAAGCCATCAAGATATCCGAACTGGCTTAGCCGACGGGTTTTCTGTTTCGCAAAAGTCTAAATAAATTGAGAGATCTCAAAAGATTGAAAGAAGAATCGAAGATGAGTGACTGGAGAGACAGTGAAGTGATATTAATAGCTGTGTACCTACTACCTACCTACCTTAGTACCCAGGTAGTGACGACTGTGGTGACCTTATACGTTACCAGTGCCTTCAACAGCCTCTCTGACAAAAGGGTAAACCCACGGACAACATAAAACAAGCACGGCAGAATACTTGGGCTTTTCATGCATATTTGTATTCACGACCAAGCGAAGGTTGGTGATACAGGTAGGAACTGACTGAGTAGTGCGAGTTCAGCTCAAAGAAAAAGTCGATTTCTTTTCCTTGTCGATAACTTGGACTACCTTATCCTCTGGTTACCTATCCAACTCTATAGTATGCAAATCTTGAGGAGGCATGAGAGGATCTATCTCGTCTTCTATAAATGGAAGGAGGGGCAGTCCGTGCAAGCCACTTCCAATTCCGCTAGGTACGCTTGGCCAATTTACACGGTCGGGGCAGGGAAAGCGCGTCATTCAACCGCCCAAGCCAAGCCAAGTCGCGTCGCCAAAAACACGTCGGGCCAAATTGATTTTCAACGTCTGAGCAACCTAGAGCCACTGTACAGTAGCACAACCGAACTCCCATATTGATCAGCAAGCATAACGAACGATAACGCCATCTGTACTTTCACGCTCCGAGCATCTTCACTTCTCATTCCAATAATTGATCACCTACTTATTTTTATTAAAAAAAAAAACTCTCATTGCATCATTGTCTGTTTCCCTTCTCGACTGTTCCTCGTCTACTTTACGCGATCGTCGCGTCCCCATTCCCCCCTTGACGATACAAGGCCACTTGCCGTTATACAACTCCCACCCACCCTCATGAAACTTGTGGCATATAGACTTGGCGATCGAACCGCTTCCTTACCATCGTCGACATGTATCTCCCGCGGCAATTGATCTCTAAACTCTACGTCCACCTTCAACAAACAAGACACCCGCTCTCCCCACCAGTACTTATTCTTGTCGCTCTCGAACCCGATGCTCTTTGTGCTTGCAGGATCCTAACCCGGCTACTGAAACATGACTATATTCCTCACAAAATACAGCCTGTTGCTGGTTATACAGATCTTGAAAAGGCTGGCCGAGAATTGGTCGTGCCCATGATGGAGTCTCGGGGAGGTGGCGGTGGTGTCGTCGTATGCCTTGGTGTTGGGGGTATGGTTGATCTGGGGCCACTTCTTGGCCTTGAGCCTGAAGGTGACGACCAGCCATACAGTGGTGTTGAGGTTTGGGTTATGGACGCTCATCGACCGTGGAACCTTGGAAACGTTTTTGGCGGGTTTCCCCTCGACCCCGAAACGGAGGCCTCATCGTCTTATCAGTCGAGGTGCCCTACTGGTGTCAATGGTGGTATGATTGAATCGGCATTCAAACCTGGTAAGGGTGGAATTATTGTCTTTGACGACGGTGATATTGTCGACGATATGCAAACTGAGCGCAATGCATATCTTGAATTGATGGAGATGCCTGAAATTGACGACGATGGTGAGGACTTGGGTGACACCGATGACGAGGACGACGACGAAAATCCACACGATGCCATTCAAGAGCATGTTCGTGCAGGCCAGAAGCGAAAAAGCTGGTCAGATGCAGAGGACGAAAGCGACGATGATAGGCCCCACCAACGGCGAAGGAGTAACTCAGTATGTCGACTTGAACTCATTACAAACTGGAATTACTGACATTTCTATGCAGTCTAGCTCTATCGCTGAATCACCTCGGCGCCCACAGCAAAGAGGGCTAATATCAATGCGACAGCCCGATCTTGGTCTGTCAAGCGATGCTATAGAGCCCCCCTCTGGAGCACAGTTACCTGCCGGGCCGTCACTCCGCGCACAAAGGAGACAACTCCTACGGTTACGACAAAAGCACGAGGCCATTCTCCACCAATATTACAAGATTGGATCTTCTTTCTCAGAACCGTTATCATCGATGATGTATTCGCTTGCTTCTGATCTTGGTAGAGCAGACAATGACCTTCTATGGCTATCTATAGTTGGGGTCACATCTATGGAGCTCTATGGCCGTTCATCGGCGGGTATTGCCGCGCCTGTCCGACAGAGCGACAAGAGCCGCCCAACAGGTTGGTTGGGCGCTCGAGGCGCTAGAATACGCCAAGAGTTCCGCGACGAAGTCAGGCGGTTGAACCCCCCGGAACTTGCGAATGGGCGTGTTGCTGCAGAAAATACCGGCGTGATTCCTACTACCGCGAGGAACCCTGAGGACACCGGAATTCGGCTGTCCCCTGAGCCCAGGTTTTTGTTGATCAGGCACTGGAGCCTCTACGACAGTATGCTGCACTCACCATATCTCTTTTCTCGCCTGAAGACTTGGAGTGAAGCAGGAATCAAGCGACTTCACAAGTTACTTGCAAAGATGGGGGTCAGCCTGGCACAGTGCAAGCAGAGCTATACTCACATGGACATGATGCTGAAACGTGAGCTAAGGGCAAAGCTGCTGAAGTACGGCTCACTTTACAACCTTGACGAGATGGTACCATCCGTCGATACGGATGGTAAAGATCGTGCTGGTGCGAAGGACGGGTGGGGGTTTGTCCGAAGTTGGGGATGGCGAGCAACGCTGAGTGCCCAGGATGTGGGAGTTGTTATCGGTGCGCTACTAGAAGTTGGAAAACATGTTCAGAATCCAGACCCCGCCGTAACAGCAAGTCAGGCTGGTCGAGACGCAGAAGAGGAGGCCGAGTTTGCAGCTCAGGGCGAAGAATGGATTGAGCGGTTCTGGGAGGCATACGACGCGCTTGAAAAGTAAGTTCAATCGTTGAAGACCTATTGGCGTCGCTGACTTGGACAATAGTATCGACGCGCTGAAGGCCGGTCTTCCTACTGCTCAGTTCCTTCACCGCGCCATCTACCGGACAGGCACATCTCTTATCAACAAAAAGCAAATCAAGCATCTTCGTGCATTTCGCATGTGTGTGGTCAAGGAGGGCCCTGACGTTTCATTATTCACCCACCCCGCAGCGCTGACCAAATTATCACTCTGGATAGGCGAAGCCCTTGCCGAGCAAGAGAGGGAAACACATGGCAAGCTATCACATGGTGGTCGCGGTACGCCCCTTGTTGTCGCAAGTCTGAACGAGAAAAGAGGTGTATATGTCGTCGTAGGCACTGGCGGCGGTGGCGGTCCAGATACCACGCTGCTTGACAGAGAAGCCGCCAAGAAACGGAAAGCCGAGAGAGAAGAAAAGCTCAAGAAAAAAGAAGAGTCACGTCTAGCGAAGCAGAAAATACGAGAGGATAAGCGTGCAGCCCGACAGGACGCAGGTGATGATGACGACGAACTGGAAACTGAATCAGAGGACTCAGATAGCTCCGACTCTGACGCGTCAGATGACGAGGATGTCGAGCATGAGAAAGGCTACGGCCTCAACAAATTTGGCCTCGCGTTTCAAGAGGTGGTGGCAGAAACTAACACGCGGGTCCGAATCGACAGTTTTGAGCATTGCGTAGTAGAGGTGAAGAAAGAGGATCTTGGTGGTTTTCTCGAGAGCTTGAGCATGAAGGTTGTTGTTGGCTGAAGAGCAGAATAGCACGGCCTAGTTTGGTGGTTGCTGGTGACCTATCTAATGATTGTATACGCGGGAGTCGTCCTGGTAGATGCAAGTGGACGAGATGATTGAAGTAGTTTTTGAATTGGATATCTTCCAAACTGGCAGAGGGATAGGAGTCGGGCGGCATCATGAATTTGGGACAGGAAACATGCGTGGGTGGAAATATGGTTACGATACCTCTCAGTAAGACAGACTTCTCTTGGGTGTAAATTGAGCACTTATCACTTGAAGTACGTTAAGTTTTCACTCGACAATTGGATCTTGTGACAGACATGATCCAATGATATTAATTGATATGTGAGGCCTCTTGAAGCATTACTTGCAGGGGCTGTATGTCATCCTAAGCTTTTCCTTGGAAGTTGGCTACCTTAGGTAAGGTAGGCAAGGTGAAGGAGTGTTTATTTAGTCGAGGTGGGCGCAGCAAAAGCTTATTGACGATAGAGTGGTTTGGTGCCGACTTGGCGCAGATTCTTGCCCCTGTGAGTTGTGACACATGGGCGCTAATAATTGTGTATTATGGAATTACAACTGTTTGCTCATGTGTACCAGTAATCAGTCCGTTTTGCATGTATGTGCTATAATCAGGGGATGCTTGGGTATCAATTAGTCCGTAACTAAAGATAGATCATCTTTTTCTAGTGTCACGAGCGCTATGAGAACTTCGAGTATACCACTAGTCCAGTTGTTCTAGAACAAGGCGCAGAGGCACGTTAGTCTCTGGGTGACTCGATCGAAGGCTTCCATTGTGTCCTCGGACTCTATCGGGGTCAAAAATCGAACTCGATCACCGCAAAAGAATATATGCGGATCAGAATGATAACCCAGAACAGGCTAGGTATGATAGCACAGCCACAATCATGTGCTCTGGGTTTTTGGTTGCATACGTGGATAACCTGGTCGCCACGCTTCGAGAAATCGAAAAAGACACAGCCTCTTTGACATTTCTGGTAGGTCGTTGCTACAGGTAACAGCAGGCAGCTGGTCGTCCCTTGAGGACCTGTATCAGCGTCAGTATTGTGATACTGCGGTCGCTCAGTCTATTCCATGAGTACCTAGGTAGTCAAAGCAGAGTGTTCTGGAGATCTCGAACCCTCGTATTCACGGACTGTTTCGGATTCGTCATTAACTACCTACCTACCGTAGAAGCGAAACAAAAACCAGGATTTCCAATGGGTCGACTGTATTCAGAGCGCGCTTTCGCTTACCAATTGGATGGATGGCATCACGGACCCGACCACTTGGAGTACAGCGGGGTTCTGGGTTGGGCTCCATGCCCGCTATCCAGAAACCCCGCCCCCACTAACTCGTCCCCTAACTACGGAGGCCACCAGTGCCCAGCACTGCACTGAGACCCCTATGATGCCCTGTAGGGTGCTGGGCGGCGATTCTATTCCAGCGGAGTTGTTGCCATGTTGGATCACCTTTAACCCCGTCGGACTGGACTGTCTGTCTCGCCTCACCCTCATCATATTCCTTCCTTCCTTCTTTGCCCTGCCTTGCTTGCTTGGCCTTACACCTTGCATCAGTATCTAGCGGCCTCCACTTCTTACCTACGACGCAGGTTAGTAAGGTAGTTATTCCATCTCCATCTCCATCTTCATCTCTATCTCTCTTCTCTTATTGCTCTGCCTGAACCGACTTTTACCTGAGCCTCTACGTCTCTTGCGTCCCCTCACGACTGCGACTCGTTTCTCCTCGCCTATTACTGTCGCACGACCCTGAGAGCTTAATACCTAGCCTTCCCCTCACTAAGCGCCTCGCTTCTCTCCAGCCCCATCGTAACCTACTTCCACCCGCTATCCTCCCGCTATCGACCTCGACACTGGTATCATCATCTACCACGTTTCTTGCCGGCGAACGATTCTCAGAAGTAACCGACCTTATCCTCGCCCCCACTGCGTCGCCTTGCTTCCAGAGCTCTTCACTTCCTTCGAGTCAAAAGATAGTCCCAGACGTCCAAGTCTTTGATCGACCGTCGCGCAATTCGCGCTCTCTATAACCCCCCACTGATAACATCGTAAAGTCCGAGGCGTCATGGGTAAATCGTAAGTTCATCTCCAACATATCCATCTTGTTTTTGGGCAGTCGCTTTATCGTATTATTCGTCCTGTCGCCTCCATACCTCGGTGTCTTTTTCCGTCACTCGGCGCCAGGATTCACACCTCGCGAGTCGCAGGCGCATTTGTCAACCTCGGATCCCCGCGGAAGCTAGGGACCGACGTCATTATACTTAAGGATCGACCACATCACAACGATGCTAACCTCGCTGTGCCTATACAGACAGTCAAAGCTTTCCCAAGATCAGCTTGTCGAGCTGCAGAAGTCGACTCATTTCGATAAGAAGGAGCTTCAGCAATGGTACAAGGGTAAGTCTCTGGCACTGATACTGACGCGGACTCTCGCTCGATCTATATCAGGAGTCTGCACCGCTTCACGAGATTACAGTTGTCTAATATCAGAGCTAGGTTTTCTCAAGGACTGCCCCTCGGGTACACTCACCAAGGAGGAGTTCCAGAAAATTTACAGACAATTCTTCCCCTTCGGAGATCCGAGCTCGTTCGCCGATTATGTATTCAACGTCTTCGATAGCGACAAGTCCGGCACTATTGATTTCAAAGAATTCATCTGCGCGCTAAGTGTTACTAGCCGAGGCAAGATGGAGGACAAGCTGGATTGGGCCTTCCAGCTGTACGATATTGATGGCGATGGCAAGATCAGCTATGATGAGATGCTCAAGATTGTCGAAGCTATCTACAAGATGGTGAGTACCGGTTTCGCGCCCATCTTTGTAGTGCCATGTTCCCATGGGACCCTAGGAAAGCGAGCGGAAGGACGAGCCCGTACTAAATATCAATAGGTCGGTTCTATGGTTAAACTACCTGAAGACGAAGATACCCCCGAAAAACGAGTGAGGAAGATCTTCCGCATGATGGACAAGGACGAGAATGGAAGTCTAGATATGGAGGAGTTCAAGGAGGGTAGCAAACGGGATGAGACTATCGTCTCAGCGCTATCTCTTTACGACGGTTTGGTGTAGGGGCAACGAGACCCCGCCAACAACGACATGAACGGAAATACGAGTCAGGAACAAAGGGAAGGAAACGAAATCAAAGAAACACAACTACAAGTGAAAAGAAGGATCCATGGGTGCCATACTGGCCAGGAGTGTGAGGAGCTTTTACCTTTTTGCTTTCACTGTTTGTCACTGACCCAAGTGCACGGCCTCTTGCTTTACAAGGACGCGACTTGAGGGATCTCTGACTGCGGAATAAATCGCCTTGCTGTTTTTATGCCAGGCTCTGTATTTTCATTGATTGTGAATGTTTTGTTTGCGTTTACAAGGGGGCTTTCAGACTTGACTGCTTAGACGCCATGGCGACCCCAAGCTCTTTCTTTCCATGGCTTTACACGGTCCTATGCTATGATTATGAGTCTATTGGTTAGTTTATCACGTTTGGGCCCAGACGTTATCTTGGATGTGTGAGGGCTCGACTCTGTTGTGAGCTTTCGGTATATTGATATATTCCGTCTCTGACGAAACGATGACGGCTCAACATATATCACCCATGACTATTTGTCTTTCTGAATAGCTTCACTACTTTATATCATGCCATGGGACTCAGCGACAAATCTTGGTCATTCCTGTTCAAGTTCCTGATATATGGTACTCACCTATAAGGTAATTTGGTGTAAGGCGGGATCCACTTATACTACCCAAAACTTGTCCATACTCGGCTACATCAAGCGTTTTCACACTATCTCGGTATCTCCATGTTAGACCAACGCTTTTCAATAAAAATGCTCTATTCAACACAACGCAAAATTCTTACCACGCCTCCTTAAAACAGACTACATCTCGCACAATGGATTTTATAGATAGTCTCTTGGCGAATCTTGAGCCAGAAGTCGAAGACGCAGAAGAAGGTCAGCTTACAAGAAGATCCTTGCGCTCATGCAGGTCTCACTAATAAAATTGCGTAGAAACTTTTATGCTATATTCACAGCCTATCCCTTCCATGAATCTTGGCTTCGTCGACTCCCGTGCTACTTCCGTCGATGTTTCTGTTGCTGACCGGGACTACACTATTCATCAATCTCCTACTGTTCTGTCATCGTCACGCGCAGGTGGAACAACAGGAGCTGGTAGATTTTCCCTTCTCACACTCACTCGTCAAGAGGAAAGGCTGACTTGAAACACAGTGTTATGGAAGATAGCCCCCAGCTTCGCCTCGTGGCTCTCTTCCTCGTCAAATCCCATTCTCACCAGTACCATCCATTCAAATGCCTCCATACTTGAACTCGGCTGTGGCATTTCCCCCCTGAGTGCCCTAGCCCTTGGTCCACGCGTGGCACGCTATGTCCTCACCGACCAGTCCTACGTGCAGCGTCTCGTTCAGCGCAATCTTGACGAGAACCTGTCTTCTGCGTTAAGCTCGGGGTCTTCTACACCGACGAGTGGCCGAGGCAGGAAGAAACGAATTGGGCGTGGGCATGGGCATGGTGGTGCAGCACAGCCGAACATTCGCTTCACAACACTTGATTGGGAGACGGACGAGGTAACTCCGTCTCTTACCGGTTCTGATGAAGCTCATAGCTTTGACGCCGTTGTCGCCTGTGACTGTGTTTATAACTATGCTTTGGTAGACCCCTTCGTTCAGGCGTGTGCGGACGCATGCCGTTTAAGACTCTCTGACGAGGCCTTTGCTAATGGTGAAGAAAAGCGGCCGTGTGTCTGTGTCATTGGGCAACAACTACGAAGTGACGAAGTATTCGAGTCTTGGTTAAAGGCGTTTTCAACTTCATTCCATGTCTGGAGAGTTTCTGATAGTGTACTGCCCGCAGAACTGCAATCTTCAGCCGGTTTCGTGGTGCACATAGGTATCCTTCGCGATGAGATCACAAAGAGGGACTGATATTACTTTATTGACCTCGTAGCACATTCTACCTAGGTAATAATCAGATAGCACGGGTGTACCAAACCATCGTTTTTCTCAAGGATCAAGTTTTACATCGTATAAAGAGTTTTTGTTTCAATCTGTTCCTATTAATCATGATCGTTTTGATTCATAAATCTCCTCAGGAGTTACGAGTTGGCATCTACTCCAAATTTTCCAGTGCTTCTGCATTCAGTGTGAGCAAAGCCAGCAGTCCTTTTTGTCCAGCAACCCCAGCAAATATTTAAAACCACAAAAACCACATGCTAATCATCATATGCTAGTAGCCCAGATCCCTTCGCCGTTAAACAATTTCTTCATTCCCTCATCTCTAGGTCCGAATCACCACTCGAGAGGCTCCTTCTTCTCTTCGCCCCGATTTGTTTTGGGAACAGGCACAGCCTTAGCGGCCAGCTTGCCACCCTGCCCGGGACGCTTCAGGTAGCCTGTGCCATCGAGCCATGGTGTGTTTTGTGTCATGCGTCGCTCGAACTCGGCAATCTTGTCCTCCTGCTGCATGGTCAGGCCAATGTCGTCGAGACCATTGACCAGGCAGTGCTTGCGGAACTCCTCAACCTCGAATGAGCAGATGGTCTCTCCGTCAGCATTCTTGATTAACTGATTGGGTAGATCGATCTCAATGTCGCGGTTGGCACGAGCCTCAGCGGCGATGGCTTCGAGATTGTCCTTGTCCTCGATCCTAATGGGGAGCATGCCGTTCTTGAAAGTGTTGTTGAAGAAGATATCAGCGAAGGAGGGGGCGATGATGCACTTGATGCCAAAGTCCAGGAGGGCCCAGGGGGCGTGCTCTCGAGAACTGCCGCATCCGAAGTTGGGTCCAGTGACAACCAGAGTCTTGGCCTGTCGGAAAGGCTCTTGATTCAAGATGAAGTCGGGGTTCTCAGACCCATCCTCCTTGTACCGAAGCTCGTAAAACAGCGCGGTACCAAGACCTGTTCGCTTGATTGTCTTGAGGAACTGCTTAGGAATGATGGCGTCGGTGTCAACATTAGATCGGTCCAGAGGAGCCGCGGTACCCTTCCAGATAGTAAACTTAGGCAGACCAGAAGCGGCACCCCCAGCGCTGGCCAGAGTGTTGGTGTGAGGCTGAGAGTCCTGAGGCTGGTCTCCGATCATCTCTCGCTCCTCAGAGTCATCCCTGGTTCGCTCGTCCACATGTGGCTCTTCCGCAGGGAGCTCACGGGGCTTAAAGGCAGATTGATGGGTGTAGTGTGACAGCTTGCGAACATCGGCAAGCTTACCAACAATAGCGGCGGCAGCTGCCATGACAGGAGACATGAGGTGAGTTCGGCTAAGAGCACCCTGTCGACCCTCAAAGTTTCGGTTGGATGTACTGGCGCATCGTTCCTTGGGGGCCAGAATGTCAGGGTTCATGCCCAGACACATGCTACACCCAGCCTCTCTCCACTCAAAACCAGCATCAACAAAGATCTGGTCAAGACCCTCCTCCTCTGCCTGTGCCTTCACAAGACCGGATCCAGGGACAACCATGGCGCGCTTAATGTTATCAGCAACCTTGCGCCCCTTTACAACATTGGCAGCGGCTCTCAGATCCTCAATCCGGGCGTTGGTGCACGATCCAATGAACACCTTATCGACAGGAATATCCTCCATTGGTGTTCCAGCTGTCAAGCCCATATACTCAAGCATGCGTCGGCCAGCAGCCTTCTTGCTCTCACTGCTAAAGGTCTCAGGATCAGGGACACATCCGGTGATGGGAACGACATCCTCAGGGCTGGTTCCCCAAGTAATAGTGGGAATGATATCCTTGGCGTCAATAAAGACATCAATGTCGTATTTGGCGCCAGGATCAGACTGGAGAGACTTCCAGTAGGCAACAGCCTGGTTCCAAGTCTCGGAGCCATACTTGGGGGCCAGGGGCCGTCCCTTGAGATATTCAAAAGTGATCTCATCAGGAGCAACCATACCAGCGCGGGCACCACCCTCGATAGACATGTTACAGATGGACATGCGAGCCTCCATGCTCAGGTTACGGATAACAGACCCGCAAAACTCAATAACGGCGCCAGTACCTCCGGCAGTTCCGATCCTGCCGATGGCGTGGAGAACGACATCCTTAGAACTGACGCCAGGGGCCAGCTCACCATCAATCTGTATCCTCATATTCTTGCTGCGCTTGGTAATGAGACATTGGGTGGCCAAGACATGCTCAACCTCGCTGGTACCGATACCAAAGGCTAGGGCACCGAAGGCGCCGTGTGTCGAGGTATGGCTGTCTCCGCACACGACAGTGGTTCCGGGGAGAGTGAAGCCCTGCTCGGGGCCAATGATGTGGACAATACCTTGTCGTTTGTCGCCCAGGCCGAAATATGTGACACCAAACTTTTTGACATTTTCTTCTAGAGTGACACACTGTGTTCGCGAATCGTCCTCCTCGATGAATGAAGCAATGTCCTTAAGGGCTTTGCGGGATGTGGTGGGGACATTCTGCAGGGTCCAGGGTTAGTAACTGCTCTGTTGACCACCATCTACGGTAGCTTTCAGTTGATTGGCAATGCATACATGATCAGTGGTTGCAAGAGTGCAATCAGGTCTCCGGACTTTGCGGCCTGCATTTTCGAGACCCTCGAAGGCTTGCTGTTGGTCATTGGTTAGCGGATGTTCGGAACATGACGTCGAGGCTTTGAAGAAGTTAAACTTACTGGTGATGTCACCTCGTGGACCAAGTGCCGGTCTTTTTGGCCAACTTTGTCAGTTCGCTGCCCATAAGCAAGATTGAATGCGCATAGACGTACCGATGTAGAGAAGAATTGTGCCATCGAGCTTTTCGTCGACGATGTGTGCCGAGAACACCTTATCGTAGAGGGTCTGGGGGTTACCCACGGGAGCAGGCATTTTGATGTTTATGACCACCCTTAGTTGATAACTTGAGATAGTACTGAAGAGCGATCAATGATTCTCGCGAACAGGAAATATCACGAATGCGGGGTGAGAAGGTATGTAGTTGATTCCAGAAGAAGAAGAAGGTAGAGTTTGATGACCGTGAAGGTGAAGAGATGAAGCTATAACACCCTGCTGTGAGCAGAGTAACAGAGGAAATGATGCAGCTGAAGGAAGAAGAAGTCAGGAATTGGACTGGAATTGCCTAGAAGAAAAAAGGCGTCTCTTCCTGGGGTTTATCAACAAAATTTCACCTGAGCGCCCCCCTCCTGCCCAATTCCACGAGCTTCATAGAATTGGTACCAATGCGCCGATGATCGGAGGGGTCCGTTTGCGGCCGTCAGCAATTGGAGCTCACCAAGAGGCCAGAAGCCCCAGGACGGGCGCCAGCGCGGGGTAGACCCACAGCTGCCTCCTGCACTGATTGCTAAATAATTGGTTACTATTGGTTGCTCGTTGATCGCTGCTTTTTCAACCTCCGATGTCAAAAGTCCAGGACCTCCGATTGCCATTCAGTTTTGGTCCTTTTCCAAACTCCACGGGTCTACCCTGGTTTAATTACGACATCAATTGACTTGCCTCGCTCAATGCCGAGATTCAGACATTCACAAATTAGCTAATAGCACCAGACTTCAGTTGGCTCTTACACGGTGTTACATGAACATGAACCTTGTGAGCACAAAGAGCCAGCACAACTTGAGACATCAGAGTATCAATGCAAAGCGGACCGGTAGATACCTTTCACAATTAACCATGCGATAATCAGGGTATCTATTCTGTATCGTAAAGCCGTACTGTGTATCATCTATTTTTACCTCCCTCCGCATCCGCCATCGGCGTGCGGCTTGTCCCGGGCTATGTTGTCTCCGGCACCGGTCCTTTCCCGGGTATCCGCCCCAGCCGTTGTGTGCCTAGTCGTCCATGTAGACTCCGGTCAAGCTCCGCCGAAACATCTCCAATGCCTCGTCAATTAAGCAATCCCATTCCTCTTCCTTGCACTTCATTGTGATTGCCGTGAACTCCATACCCCAAACTAATATCACCAACAACCCGAATACAAGCGGTAATGCAAGACAAGTGCTGGCCAAATCTGACCAGCCCTCACTTTCTCGATCAGTAGCTCTCCAGTACGGAGAGCTGTAATCAAAGACAGGCTTCACCGCCTTCCAGTACAATCTCAAAAGCTGTATGTTGTACCCCTTGATCGTACACAGAAACTCCTTGATAGCATCCCACAATCCTCCCGTCACACGCTGCCGAGATCTATTACTGGAAAGATCTGCGATGCCGTCTTCGGCGTTCCACTGTCTTGGAAGATTGCCTGGCACGTGCATCCCCGGATCCGCTGCTCGATTGCTGACTCCTGGCATATATATTTGAGATAGAAGATCCAGATTGCTCAATCGAGGGCTGGGTTTCTGCAGAATGTTCTGCATGTTGTCCCCCTTTTCGAAATTTCTGACACCCGTTGTGCAGGTGGATGTTGACGAACTGCTGCATCGTTCCTGCATCGCTAGTACCTCTGGTGGTTCCTCCATGATGTCGCACCCGTGTGCCTGTGGCTGATTTCTCGACTCCTCGAGGAGACTCTCCGATATAGTATCGATCAGTTGAATCTCTTCCACCGACGCCGATTTCAGCAATGTACTCAGTCCACGATTCTCTGGGGAGGCTTCCAAGCTGTTTGGCGTTGTGCCGAATCTCTTCAGGTTGTGGATCACCCGACTCAGCCTGCGTTTGCGCTGTAGGCCCTCCACGGCCTCTTGACCTCTCTTCGGGGGGTATCTCGATGTTATCTGGTCGCACCCAGTAATGATGGTGATGTTTGTGGATGCAGACGGCCCCTTGACTTCGCACCTATTCGTGATGTCGTGATTCGCGCTCTGCGCCCAAACCCGCTCCGTTATTTGATCTTCGGTCACGGGTTTCGTGTGGACTTGATGTGTGGATTGAGGTAGAGTCCCTCTGATCATCTGGTGTTTTGTTTGTGTCGCTTCCTCGGTGGTTTTGGGTGGGTTTTGCAGACTCTCTTTGCCTGTAGCTTCCCTCAAGGGAACTGGAGGAGCGGTGAGGGGATCTAGAGTTGCTGACCGCTTTGCCTCGTCCAGGGGCAGTGGGCCGCTTGTGATCCCAGCTTTCGTTATTCGTCTCCGGAGCAGTAGGACTGTTGGAGACGGTGTTGAGTTGTTCAATGCCTCTTGCTCCCAATCGGACCGTGTCTTGGAGCTTCCTGTTAGGTGTGGGTTCTATACACGTCCTGTGAGGGCTTGCTGATGGTAGTGTTGGCACTGGCTTTCTAGGGAACTTGACGCGGTCTGTTCCAATGTTGTCGGGAGGGTAATGGATTTCTCGTGGATGGGCGTCAAATCTTGCACGTAGCTTTCTGGAATGCTGTTCTCGTGTTGGCTTCGTATCTCGATCTTGCTCTTCGCTAGTAAGTGGGTGGTGCTGGATGCTGTGAGGTTTGGTTTCGTCAAGAGATCTGACGAAGAGTCCTTCCTGATTGACACTCGAGGTATCTGGGTTCCTCCCGGTTCTATTGCCTCTTTTAGGCCCTTCCCTAAAAAAGAATTGGAATGCTGGTTTTGATCGCTGTGGTGCGCCAGTGATCCGCCCGCCTCGTGGAACTTCTCGTTTCCTTGCAGATATTGCGTCTCGTTGGCAGGCGTTTGTATCTGTGTATCATCGTGCGCGGACACAAGGAACGGCTCTGGGATCTGATCTCTGTCTAACCTGGGCTCGCTTGGGTTATGGAATTTTATGTCATTCTCGAAAAGCTCCAAGGCTGAAGGAGATGGGTTTGCGAGGCTGCGCCTATGGGGGGTTTTGATCACCGTGTCAGATGAGTTGGAGTTTTCCTTGGGTTGTATAGCAGGCGGGACTTGTTCATCGGATGATTCCTTTGAGTTGTAGTCGATCAGCCCTTCCCCATTTGCCATATCTAAGTCTCGACGTGACGGGCGCCCTGCATCGAAAGACGGATTTAGTTGGATGTGTCAAGGCGAAGGTGGCATAGGTAAGGCAGAATAGAATACTGACTTGAGAATACTGAAGTACTTCTGTGTGATTGGGCAATCGGGCTCAAATCAGGTTGCTGAACCCAAGACCACTGGTGTGTCCCTCTTCGCCATTTGGCAGTGGCAGAAGCTGCCAGTTGTTTCTCTGCTTTCTCTTGTCGCCGTGCCTTGGCGACTTCGTGGTCAAGATGTACCTTGACGATTTCGATCTCGGCCTCTTTCCTTTCGGTAGCCGATAGGGCGTTCTTGGCCTGTGCCTCCAAGTTCAGCAGCTTTTGTTCCGTTTTCGAGCTCAGCGTACTCTCTCCACTGTCCGATGTAAGATCAAGAATACCCGTTTGCGGATTGATACCTTGAACACCCAGGTAGTCTCCGCTCTCTCTCAAACTTTCCCGGTCCTCCCGTGCTTTTCTCCTTGCCTTTCGATTGGCTTCTAGAACTTCCAATATGCTAGGCGTTCCTTGAGTAGCTACCTCAAAGGACTGAGCTCTGGAAGAGCGCCTTCCAGGTTGCTTTTCGTTGCCCTTCCCGGTTTCTAAATTGCCACTCCGTTTCTTCTGACCGCGCTTCTTGCCTATTCTTAGAGAACCGAATTCATTCCATCTGCGATGAGTCGGCAGTGAAGGCTCATTACCTTTGTCGTTAGATGCGGGTGTCGGTTCAGGCACTGCTTCACTTAGGTTTTTTGGTGTGTTCCAATCTACAAGGCGATCTGAGCCCCCGGTTCTGCTGCGTTGACCCCCTCGACGATTTGAGGCAGAGTGGTGCGCTGCTGATGCTTGATTGTTGACTTCGTGTTGAAGTTGAGATGAGGAATTGCCAGCAGCCGCTCCAATTTCCCAACCCCCGTTGTTCCTCAATGTTCCCCCTCTCTCTGCACGATGACTTGGAAGTTTGTTCCTGAACCAGTCTCCCACATCCCCTAATGTGGCACTCCGAGTAGGTTTCTGTCTCTCCCCAGCTAGTTTACCCAAATCTCCAATTGTTAGTCTTCTCTCGGAATCGTCCGTGAGTTGAGGAAGATTCTGTGGACGTGAAGGCAGGGCAGGATGGTCAGACAATGCTGCCCTGCGGCGTAATGATGACCAATGTGGTTTCTTAGACATATCTAGGTGCAAGCAGCCGCGTTGCTGATGAGTAACCTTGCTCTTGTTGATCGGTCAGCCGTTGATTAACGATAGTATGGTAGAGACGTTACTAGTGACTGTAATGTTGTCTAACCTGTGAGATGAGAGGCACTAGGTATAGCTAGCAGTTATGAATACGAGGATCAGGAGTGATTGTCGAAGAAGAGATTCGTCACATCAGGTGAACCATGGGCATGGATCCCTAGAACCCATCAACTTCGCCTTCCTCGTGTATGCCACAACGATATCTCAAGGGAAACCACAACGAATGCAAGAAATGCTCCTACCTGCCGTCGTTTCCGATAGCCTTTGATGCTTAGCACATAACAACGAATCATGACACTATCAGAACGTAAGGTAGGTCATCAAATACAAGCCGATAATGGAGACAGATCAAGGGGGTTCAGGATATTCCATGATATTTATTCAGAAGCCAGACCTTAACGCCAATCTTTGCTATTGAGATCGCACTCAGTTTCGATGCGATTAAATGTACTAATAAACAAGATAATAATTGGAAAGCTACCATCGCGGATGACGATTATCCGAGGGTGCTTGTTGCCGACCCAACCCAGCAAAGGGGTTGCCGCCTCCAGTAGGTCTTGACCCTGTGAGACGTCGACTTTCGAGCTTTTTCGATGGCGTTGTTGCCCCCCAGTTTCGTTGCTCGTAGGCTGCCATTTCTCGAGAATTCCGCGGAGATGCTGCTTCCTGGGGATTGAGCTCATTAAGACTAGTGGCCTTCTTGAGGGGTGACTTGTTATGGGTGTGGATGCCCATGTTTCCGCCAAAGTTCATTCCCTGAACTCCTGAAGATGTCACAGTTGATGTATAGCCTGCAGGCAAACTATGGCGAGGTACGGTGCCTCTCTGGCTGGTAGCGGGTCTAAAAGCTTCCGAGCGTCGAGTTGCTGTAGGAGGCGTGAACATGTGAGGCTTCATTATGTTGTTGGAGGTTGGAGTGAGAGATCGTTCTTCAGGGGTATGATCCGTTCCGGTATATGGGTTAGAGTGGACCTGGAAACCATGACGGATCTGAACTGTAGGGGTCCCAGTCTGCACAAATTCTTGATAGTCGTCGGGCTGGTCCGTTGAGAACTGTGTGCCGATATCGCGGACCGTAGGGTGAAGACGGGGGTGGACAAACTTGGTATCGTACTCTTTCATCACTTGCTCTTGAATCATGGCCTTATCCTTTGCTTGTTGCGCAAATCGAGAACAGAAGAATAGAAGCTGAGCAGAAATGAGGGCCTGCAGAATGAGTGTATTCAGAACCGTCACACTTGGTCGGGGATCGAGAGGAGCTAAAGGAAGGAAGATCATGTACACCAAAACATGCCCAGGGCCAAAGAGACAAGACAGGCGCAAGGACACTGGCAGAGGATCCCATACTGATAATTCCCAAACATCTGATGTCTTGTCTGGGTGGGCTCGCGACTCGGCAGATTCTGGTGTTATCAGATTCGCGAGATAGCCCAGGGGCGTCGAAGGCGATGCGCTCGATTGGTTCACTTTCACACGTCGCGCAGACGGCGTCGAAAGCGGCCTGTCGACCTTAGCCAGAAAGAGTCGATACTTGCGCGTTCGGGTAATCGTGTAGAAAGCATTGGTGAAAGAGAAAGCTATGAGGGCCCATACCACCGGATAGATCTTTAAAATATGTGTGGTTAGCCTCAACATGATATACAAGCAGTCCGAGAAGACGAGAATTTACCAAGAATGATAGCCACCCTGAACTGCTTTCATCACTGAAAATATCGTCACTTGGGGTAGATGATCCTGAATTCGCTCGCGCGAGTAAAAATACGAAGTTCATGGCGAGGCCCATCTGTGTCCCAACCGAAGCTGAATCCCAATCCCTTGTTTCCAGTTCTTCGGATAGCCAGAGCAAAAAGTCCATGGGGTTGATTGCAGCCATGACACGCTCCCTGAGCGGCTGCCGGCGAACTAGGCGTGGCATGTTGAGCACACTGCAGGGTATTGACTCCTTTGAAGTTTTGTGTTCGCGATCGCAATACCAGGGAGGAGAGTCGTGAGTCGGCACTAAAGTAATAAAGAAAGAAGAGGCGGCTACTTGGCCGATGTTGTTTACTTTGAACTCACTGTTGCTAAGGACCAGGCCAATTCTTTGTTCACTACGGAGTAGCCTAGTACAGTACCTGCCTGAAGCTGACCAGTAGAAACTTTAGTAGTGGAGGCGGCAGCATCCACCTGACGTGGGGATCAATGTACCTCAGAGAGGTGCCTTACTTGCAATGGTCAGAGCTTCCAAGTTCCCAGGCGGAGCGGAACTTCAGGCGCCGACCTCTTCGTAGTTAGTTGTAACGCTAATCATCAACTCAGCGCCATCAACACCAACAAGAGGGACGTGTGAACACAAGTCCAGATCCATCAAGATGGCCTCGCAAGCTGATTACAAGGACCGTCAATTCCTTGCGGTCATCGGCGACGAAGTATGAGCTGCAATGAAGGCTCTTTGTTCGAAAGCTTGCGCTGACGTAGCGCTCATCTAGGACTCCGTAACAGGCCTGCTTCTCGCGGGTATTGGCGTGAGTATCAATCGCTCAGTCCCTTTCCACAGGCTAACTCTATTCAACAGCACGTAACTACTGGCGCCGATGCTCAGAAGAACTTCCTCGTTGTTGATGGCAAGACTGATACAGCTGCTATCGAGGCCGCGTTTGATCGATTCACCGAGGATCGCAAAGATATTGGCATCGTACTCATCAATCAACATGTCAGGCAACGTTCCGATCAAATTTCGCCGCTGAACTAACTCTCCTGAAGATCGCCGACCGAATCCGACATCGCATTGACACGTATACCGCGGCTTTCCCTGCCGTGTTGGAGATACCAAGCAAAGACCACCCCTACGACCCTGAGAAGGATAGTGTATTGAGACGAGTGCGACGTCTTTTTGGAGAGTAGGGGAAATCGTTTCACTGGGCGCAAGGATTTGTTTCGGAATAATGGAGCGAGAACGGTATAGAGGCAACAGTGAGCATGGCCGTACATGATTTGAGGTCGGCACTGCGTTTTTCTTCTTCTTCTTCGACTTCATGTTATGCAGAGCAGTTCCTCCTACAGAGATGCAGAGGAGAGCACGATGCAATGGACTCATTATCAATATGCTAAATAGATCTAAAGCCGCTGCAGGTTGCCCGGGAAGAGCTAGAAGATTCGCCAAACCAAACGTTAACCTAGAACCCCATGAGTACGTGCCCAACGATAAGTCATGCCGCCATGTGTATGTTATGAATGCGCCATAATCCCAATCACAGATCGCTGCCGAAAAAGCCCTTGCTGCTACGAGAGAAAGTGACAGTTGCAGTGAGGCAGGTAATTTGGACATCATCGGCGGTGAAGACGTCGGCCAGAACAGTATATTTGCCCTGAAGCGAATTAGAAACAGGCGTGGGAGAAGCGAGGAATAATCACATACCGGAGGGATCTCAGCAGGAAGGTCTACAGTCTTGGTGATCTCGACTTCACCAGCCTCGACGGGACACTTCAGGTCGACATTGCCAATCTGCTCGCACAGATCGGCCTTGGTGCTAATGAGGCGAATAAGTCCATACTTGACAGTCAGAAGAACATAAGCATCCTGCTCAATCTTCTGCTTGACTATGCCTTTAGCCTTGATCAAGAGTTCCTGGCCGCTATTGAGATGTTAGCTTCTCATGGTTGTGCAAGTATAAGCAGATGAATCGTACGCTTTGGGAGGGTTAGGAGCAAGGTCGACCTTGTCAATCCTGATCAGGTCGGCAGTATGGTCTCCAGGGCACAGTTCAAGGGGAGAGTCGCCAGGAATCTTGAGGTCGTCGCTGATAGTGACATCGGGAGCCTTGCCATTGAGAACGCTCAAAGCAGCTGCTGGGGCCAGGCATGCCGTCAGACATGCGGTGACAGTAGAGAATCTCATCGCGCGGGGTTATCTCGCGAGGTTTGATGGGCTGTGGGATACGGTGATGTTTGCGAAAACAATACGAAGTAGTAATTAGATGATGGAAGTCGTGTGAAGATGATGAGAGAGTCGTTATCAGGGCAGAATGGTGGATGGCGACTGGCTTAGTGTTAGAGTGCGTCATGGGACTTATCCTCCACTTTTTGGTCTAATGACTGGTCGAGAGCGGCTGGGAGTTGATGCCTTACCGCCTTGCAGATGACCGCGGGCCGCATCCGAGTGCACTAAGAAGTTACGTACCTTACCTTATCATGGAGGCAAAAGTCTAGAACCAGATAATTGAATCAAGTCTAGAGCATGGAAAGCCATTATAATAAGCGAAGAAATGAGTTTGTATGCCAGCCAAGCAAAGCGTAACAGTGGCCTTCGAGTCAATTATCATTTTGCAATATCATCAGAGTCAAAAGCTTACCACCTGCTCCTGCTTGTTCTCATGCAGGTTCCTGTCTCAAGTTTGCGGAGGTGGAACATTCAATGTCGAGTTGCAAGCCCAGCCTCCTCACTTTCCAATCACATGGAGCCATTCGAGCTTAGCTTTATTGACCGACATACAGCCTGAGGCGCAAAAGTCGAAGCCTCGTGCACGGGCCATGCTATGGGATCGTATATATTTGCGGTTTTCTTCCAACTTATTTTGAACTCTTCATACTTACCTTGCCTCAGGAAAGCCAGCTCAAGAATTGGCCTTTCTAGTGTAGAGGGCCTGCATTGCACACCCGCGGAGTCACTCTACTCTCTATTGTCCTTCGGGACCATAGGGGGCGGAATTTTTGATTTATTACCGTCCTTCATTGTGATCTGCTGCTTGCGGCGGGCATGAAGAAGGAATATGCGAATCTGTACGCGATTGTTACTCTGACGATTTATCGCGCTTGCTGGCTGCTTCCTATCAAGAAGAAGGAAGGGCGGGCCTCCCAGCGATTATGGCATGTTGCTGTTTTGGTATGTCACAGCGATATTCCACAAGAAGGACCTCGTCAGTGAGTTACGGTGGGACGCGTCGGTTTTGAGCTGGTTGCCTGGTGTTGTTATTGGCTCAAGGTGTATAGCTCAGCGGGAGCTTAATGGCATTTCCATGTTTTGGAGTCTTGGATAATGCGTATTTTCATGCTGACTTTTCCCGACAGTTTGACCCCTGACCTCGAGTCGATTTTCGTCACTAGATATCGCACTGACTGGACCATGCCGAGGGAACACAAGATAACTCGGGACGTATACTATAGGAAACAAAAAAGAATTGGCCCAATTTAGCAGAAACTTCAACGAGTCTTTAGATTGGTGAATTTTGGCATCACAAGCCAAGTGAAGTTTTCTTGCTCCCTGATGCTGTGTTACCTCTGGTGCAACTTTCCCTACTTCTGTACTCTGTACGTGTGAGTCTTTGAGGCTAAGGTTTCGTCACGACGGGGCTAGGGGGGCAGCGAGGTTTACCAGTTCGGAGCAAGAAAAGCCACCTTTGGCTGTTGGTACAGGCTTCGCGGTGACTGCCACCATTTACCAAAGACTCAAGCTGTCGAGTTCGAAGAAAGCGGCCACAGGAAGATGCAAGATACCTGCCCAGGCGGCGCTCTGTAAAACAGATAATTGTGTTTGCCGCAGTTCAGCGTTGCACTCGCATCGTGTACTACGTACAGGCCATTCCCATGCCCTGGTCATCCAAGCATGGCCATTGGGTGCGAATACGGGCAACATCGCGAGACAGACACGACACGATAGTGATGGAAACTTGTTGCATATATTTCTAGATATCTTGAACAGACCGTGGGGCGAGCACATCGACGTCTCTAGGAAAGCCATTATCGAAATGGCCCAGTTTTTGTTCCCCTCGACGTATCCTAGAGGATTGGCAGAAGGCATAAACCTCATATCCAATAGTTACCTTCTCGACAGGCGTATCCGGACAAGATTAATGTGGTATAAACAAATGCATGCTTTCCCATTCGCGCCCTTCAGTCATTATAAGGAGTCCTTTTGCATCTCGGGCTTCCTGTTCAAATGTCACCTTTGACAAAATACAACGCGACAGTCGCTCTTTTGGCACCAAGCAATTTGCACGACAGTGATGACGCGACGGATACTCCGTACGTATCATCATTATCACGCAGTCAGCTTGCACCACACTCCAGGTTATCATGGAATCTTTCACAGGCTCCTAACACAGATTCGTATGCACAATCTAGTAATGAACTTGGAACAGCCTACACTGATTGGCTTGGAGGTGGAAAGCCTGACGGCAACAAGGATATGCCGTCCTGGTTACGCACTACCCGTCCTCGCATACAGTCTGAACAACCTATTGTCTGATATTACACTGTGCCAGTAAGCTACGAATAAGCTCTTTTGTGAAAGCAGTCCGGTCTGGATTTCGATATTATTCATCCAGGTTTGGAAGTGAATGTCGTGGCTAAGATCATGATGTCTTACACTCACGTCGGGCGACCAAGCTTCTTTTGCGGAAATATTTCATTCTTCTCATTTCAAGCAAGGCTCTACTCCGTACGCGGCTAACAACGCTTCCTTTGCTCTGTAGATAAAAATACTTCTAACTTGGGCACGGTACGGAGTATTGCTCCTGGGACTTACCTCGGCGGCCTCAGGTTAGCTTCGCACTAACTTAGAATGAATGGTTTCTCGTTTCACCAAGCGTAGATTGTTTGTGGCGGGTGCCAAATTTCAGACACCCCACTCATCCCCACTGCGAGTCCGCCAACCACGGTCATTTCTTGTGAGGTAGCTAACCCAGCTTCAGCTGTCATCTGCTGTTTATTGCCTTCGGCTGGCTCTGAGACATGCTCAGGTTACGTGCCTGATTCCCTGAAAGTGGCCGTCGTTCATTTTGCCTTTGAAAATCTGGTGAAGCCCCTCCCGACTCCTTCGCTTCCCGTTCATACCGAAATGCTCAACTCCTAGTGTCGGCCCATCACCAAAAGCAAAATCAGAAAGCATAGCAAAGCAGACTCGATAGACTCGAAAGACATGGCTTTCTTGTCTTTGTCTTGCTTCCATCGCCGTTCCTCTTACACATTCTATCTCAAAGGATACTCGAGTCTCAACGACTTACTCAGTGACAAACAATCCCCTGGCTGGCTACGCCAATGCCAACAAAAACTCGCCGTACGCAATTTCCAGCAGAAACCCTCCTCTCCCCTCCGCTCTCTTGAGTTTCCTTCCCCCTCCTTACCTAGCCCTGTGCTCAGGCGCAACGGCAGCGGGACAATATTTGTTGTTAGTGCCTCAGGCCAACAATGCGCCCTGCGTGCCCTGTTTCCTGCACTAAGAGTTCCCCTTATCCACCGCCAGTCAAGGTTTGGTCTAGCGCCAAATTTTGGTTATTGTCTCGTCTCTTCTCTTCCATGTCTCTCTGTCTTGTCTTTTCTTTGGGGGGGCCACTGTCACTGGAGTGGGAGTGTCCCCGTTCCCTCACTCGCACACTTCCTTCTCAGGAACTTCTGCCCAATCCAGCCCAGAAGCACCAGGAGAGGATACCAAAAACGGCCCAGTGGCCCATTCGATTTTTGGCACCCTCTTATGCTATCGCTGCTGCTTCTGCGCGCCGAGATTGAGTGGGAGCCATCAAGAGAATGAGACGGGAAGCGTGAGCCGCTGATGAGGTGAATACCAAAGGTACGTACTCTTGTTTTCTGCCCTTCCATTACCTTACCTGAGGTGCTCTCCTCCCCCTCTTAGCCAACTGGAAATGGAACCCCAGGCAGGTCCCAGGCCGGTACCTCAGTACCAGTACCAGCCCAGCCTACCACCAGTGAGCACCACACCAGCACCAGTACCAGTACCGCACTTGTCTTGAAGCACTCCCGGGCTTGTCGCTCCTCCCCATCCTCTTTCTTCCCATCACCCACCCTTCTTCGTGCAGTCCACGATCTTCAACCTTCACTTCTCATTATCTCCATTCTGCTTCAAGCGCTCCTTGTGTATGGATTGTGTTTGAGTAGTCTCAAATCTTATTTCTCTTGATTTGCCAATCGAATTTTGCCACCTACACACTTAATCTTCGTCTCCGCGCTCGACACCTCGACCTGAACTCGTCTCAACCCTGCCGTGACCGATCACAACGAGTTTTGCGAAAACACAAACCGACCGACCGTGTCCCCAACACGCCTCCGATTCGCGTCTACGCTTCATATTCGACGTCTCCTTGTCAACTTGATCACCTCTGTTGACTTCGTTTTTCCCGTTGTCGCGCCGCTGACCCTCCACCCTTTGTGTCGACGTCTCGACCTGCCTCGAGTCTCTAGTTCGACGATTGCGATCCCTGGCGGTCGGAATACGATCCACCATTGTCCTGCCGAATGAGACTTCCTTTGATCACTCTGGTTCTCGACTCCTTCTTACGGTCTCCCCGACGCGCCATCTGAACGGCGTCGTCATGCTCCAAAGACCGCGACAATAGATTAGACACATACCCCCTCAGGTGTTCACTACGTTATCTCTAGCACAGATTATGACCGACAGACCAGCGCCGCTGTCCACGCAGTCTGCGACTCCTAGCCAGATCGCCCCTCTTACTCTCTCGGGCGCAACGCCTAAGGACGAAGTTGCCCAACTGAATGAGGTAGCGGAGGAAGAGCCATACACTATCAAGTGTATATGTACCTTCTCTGTCGACGATGGAAACACAATTTACTGCGAGTCGTGTGATTCGTGGCAGCACATCGACTGCTTTTACCCTGATAATCGAGAGGAAGCTGTACGCGAAGATTTTGCACACTCTTGTGCAGAATGCAAACCGCGCCCTCTCGACCGTCAAAAGGCTTATGATCGTACACTACGCTTGATAAATGGAGCCACGGACGAGCGTGCCGACAAAAGAACAAAAAGACCACCTTCCAAAAGCCATAAGAAGAGATCGAGGCCTGCGGATCTACCAATAAATGGCCATGCGAGTCCGCAGGAAAATGGAAAGAATGGTCATTCTGGAGATCATCCTCCTCCCAAAAAGG